TAATTTATAATAACTCATGAGTTTGTACATACAGACGGCTCATATAATATAATCAGGTAGTTAGTTACGAAAATAAAAAGTGATTTTTGGAACAAGCCAAATATATTATATTATTATATAATTGCATATAAGGAGGAAAAATAGGAAAGTCGGATAAATAATCATCTTTTACATGTAAATACAAAATTTTGGTTTTGTTATTTATTTGTCCGTTTCCTATTCTGCGAAGGAAAATATTATATTAAATATATGAACAGCACAATCAATCCCCATATATATAATTTGCACAATTAATTTGAGCTGTTTAGTGTTTCGTTTATACAGGTTCATTACATAGCAGACATAATGGGAAGCAGGTGGGACGAATTTCTTCCGGAGCTCCTTGATTTGATCCAATCGAAGCCGTCGAATGACGACGATAAACGCGCGTTCAGTCTGGTGTGCCGATCGTGGAACAATGTCCACCGTAACTCATGCTTCCGCCACTCGACCTGCCTCGTGCAAAACCATAGGAGCAAGCTAGCGCACGTGGGAGTTTCCCCATCACATGGGCTTCCTCACCACGCGCCTCCGTGAGCTGGAGAAGGCCGAGATACGCTGCTCCTAGCACGGTTGGCTGCTCGTCTCCCGCCACGACAACACCGCCTTCTATCTCGACCCGTTCGGCAGCCGCAGGGTCGAGTTGCCGTCCGGGCCCACTTGCCCGTACACGACCCTCTGCTTCTTCCACCCCCTACCCACCGAGAGTGCACCGTCGTCGCGTTCTCTACCGTGTTCCTTTCTAACACCGTCAACATCGGTTTGCTCCGGCGTGGGGACAGCGCGAGGAAGCACCGTGTGCATGCTTGTGGGCCCCACTTCCTCGCGTCGTATGCCTTCCCGGTCATGCACGGTGGGTGGATCCACTTTTTGGGGGCCCGCGGGCAAGTGGCGAAGTACGGCGCCGCCAAGGGCGAAGGAGTTTGGATCGAGCACCCGGGGAACCTGAGCCGGGAGGGCAGCATTACGGACCACTTCATGTTGGAAGTCGAGGAGGAGCAACCGCTTGCGGTTTTTGTGGTCGGGGACAAGAGAAGGGTCGTTGTGCTCAGGCTCGTTCCCGACGGGGAGGCGATGAGGTGGGAGAGGGTGGAGGATTTGGGGGGAAAGGTGTTGTGCC